GCAAAACTAAGGTTAACTTAGTAGAAAATAAAGTTATAAAGTATTTTAAAATAATTGAGCTGGGGAAAATTTGTGTATGAGTGATAGACGGAAAGAGTGATTTGTATTTCTGAACTTTTCTAATTGTAACTAAACCTAATATTAATAATAAAAAATAATCATAAAATAAATAAATTTACATGTTTATGTTATTAAAAAATAAAAATAGATTGAATTAAAAAAAAATACTATTTTTAAATTAATTTAAAAGAAAAAAAAAAAATTAATTTATTTAATATTATTAAAATTTAAAAATTTCTCTAGCTAATTAAATTTTAAGATCATATGTAATTTAATTCAATAAATTACATATAATCTTAAAATTTTGATTGGCTAGCAAAATTTTCAATTCAAAGTTTTAAATTTTTTTTCTTATTTAATTAGCAATTCATATAAGAACAGGACAAAAGTTGGAGATAAGTATTTATATAGTTTTAATAGTAATATAGAATCCAATTTCCCAAAATTATATAGTAAAAAGACGGTTTTTTTGAAATTTCAAAATTTCAGCTCTTAGTAAAGTACCTTTTATTTTTAGAAAATTCTACCAGACTTTTAATAAAAAGAAAGACAAATACTATATTTTTATGTCTATATAATTTAATTTTATATTATATTTAAACTATTAATACTTTATATTGTAGGCAAACTGGATTCCAACATTTGAAATATTATAGTAAATTTGCTTATTTTTATTATATAAAATTTTATAAATTGTCCTGTTCTTACGTGAATTGCTAATTAACTTTAATTTAACCAAGATTCTTTTTTAAAATATAAGGTAAGAGGGATATTATAACGCAGAACCAATTATAACGCACTCTCAATATCTCGTGTTCTACTAGCTCGAATTGAATGATTTTGGTACCATTTGATTCGTCTCGACGAGACGAGCCGAATGGTACCAAATTCATGTGATTCTGGTCATCAGATCACGAGATGCCACGGTTTCAATCAAAACATAGCCAAGTATTTCTTTGAATCTTCGTGAAGCACAAGAGTAATACATATAAAAAATGATATATATACGATATAAATAATCTTGGTGCCTTAAAAAGTTGATCATAAAGCGCCTGTCATGTTTTTAAGGTTTATTGCTGTATTACTTAGATTTAAATAAATTATATTTTTTTTAAAAAATTTAATTAATTATGTAATAAGAACGGGACGTTAATGCATCTGCATGTTTTGGATTAATTTCCAAAAATTTATTTAAATTCATGTAATTCTTCGTATCAAATAAAATACATTTAAACAAAATAAATAAAATGCATGTATGCAATTCTTTATTGTTTTTAAGTGTAAGTTAAATTATCTATACTGAATTCAGATATGTGGGCTTGATGCTGTAAAAAGGAATGAAATTGACAAAAAAAAAGATCTTTGGAAAATCAATTTTTATGTTATAAACTTTATAATAAATCATAAGAAAATACAACTTTAAAGAGCTATACTATAAAATTTTATTAATACAACTATCTTTGTGTCTTAAGTAAAAAATAATTTTAAACTTATTTTAAATTGATTTATGTAAAAAAATATTATTTGAAAAAATTGTCAATTTCGTTCCTTTTTATAGCACCTAGCCCATGTAATATAAAAATCACATTCCTTAACTGAAGTATATTTACTTACTATCAAACTACAAATCAAACTTAAATCCTAATCCAAATATATTAAATTTGGCAGAAATAGGAGACCTTTAGGATATAAATCGGGTTAATATAGGCATTCAAAACATTTCGGAATGCTGATAGCTCAATTGGTAAATCGATAAAGCTATAAGGCAAGCTTTATCGATTTACAATTGAGCTATCGGCATTCCGATATATATTAAACGCCTATATTAACCTGATTTGTATCCTAAAGGTCTCCTATTTCCACCAAATATCTGTTTCAAATCAGGTTCTTGTTGGTAGAGATGGCATTATTCCTGAATTAAGCTTAATACGAGCCAAATTTCGAAATAACACCCATGTCTGCTATTTCGAAAATTTTAATAGAACAAGAAAATTGATTTTCAATAAAATTTCTGTATGATTTTTTATTAGACATAAAAAATTAAGAAACTCACGAATTTATGATCCTATCCCGCGCGTGACGTGCAGAATTTTTGAAAAAACTGCGATTTGCCCATCTCTACTTGTTGGGATTACGTAATGCCAGTTGGGACCTGATTTGCCTTCATTCAACTTGTGTGTATTATTCCAAAATAATGCCCTGGGGCGTTATTTTGGAATAATATCATATAGATTAATCAAAAGGTTCGCCATTTGTATATTGTTGTGAAAACGCGTTATATGCCAGTAATAAAATTTAATTATTAATATAACGCGTTTATAAGTAATGATAAAGTAACAATACATTATAAATAGATATACCTACCTAACCCGTACTTAAATAAATCAAATCAATCTGAATAAATCAAATAAATCAAAATCAAATATATCAAATTGCCTTAAGTCATTTTAAATTAAATCAGTATGTCTCCACAAAGTGGTTGGTCTATGCAACATGAAGCTATTAAAAGCGCCCTTAAGAAACTTAAAAATTCTCCAAATATTTCCCAAAGAAAAGTCGCAGCAAAATTTGGTGTTCACAAAGCAACCCTAAGACATGCCATTAAGAATAACAGTCCTTTAAATCGCCCGGGTCCTGCTAATATTTTAACTAATTATGAAGAACAACAATTAGTTGGTTATTGCTTAAATATGCAAAGACTTGGCTTTGGACTAACTAGAACGGGTGTAAATTATTGCGTAATGGAGATCGTCAAAAAAAGTAAAAGGCCACATCCTTTTAATAAGAACAGACCGGGAAAGTCGTGGTGGGAGTGTTTCATGAGGGACTATCCTGGGCTTTCATTTCGTGTTCCTCAGGCTTTGAATGAGGCGAGAGCACAAAGAGCAAACCCTATTATAGTAAATGACTATTTTAAAAAGCTTAAGGAAATTATTGAAAAATATTCTCTTACTGCTGATCAAATCTGGAACATGGACGAAACAGGTTTTGTTCTTAATCCTGAACTTTGTAAAATTATTGCAAAAAAGGATACATGATAGATAAAGTAAATTTGGTTATTAGTATTTAATAATAATAAAGCATAAATATTTTAAATAATATTAAAATTTGTCAAACATGTTTTTTACCACCCTAATAATAGGTCCATCAAGTTTCTCATGGAAATTCTAATGAGCATATTTCTGTGTATCCTACTATCTTTGCTGCTGGAATATACATCCCCTGCTCATTATTTACAAAGGAAAGCGTATGATTCTAGGCCTCTTAGATGGCGCCCCCTAGTTCTGTTATGGGATTTACGGAAACCGGGTATATGCAAGAATCTCTTTTCCAAAAGTATATTGAGTATTTTATTCGCTCAATCCCGCCTGCTCGTCCTGTTCTTTTGATTCTTGATGGACATAAGAGTCATGTTAGCTATATCAATGTTAATATTTGTCATAACAACAATATCCTTCTATATACGCTCCCACCCCACACCACCCATATACTTCAACTTGCTAAACTTCCCTTTGCACAGCTTAAAGATGCATACACTAAAGGCTGTGAACAACTTTGTGTTAGTAATAATGGAGAGTTTATAACTAAGTACACATTTGCCAAGGTTTTAGGTCCGGCATATATTAAAACTTACACACCTTTAGCAATTTGTAATGCCTTTAAAGCAACTAGGATATGGCACTTTAATTCCAGTACAATTAGCCCTGACCGTCTTGATCTTTCATTAGTTACTGAAATTCTTTCAACACAATTACCTTACACAACTATGGCATCATCTCCACAGTTTTCTTCTTCTACAGCATCATCCTCAAAGTCGTCTTCTCCCACAGCATTATTACAGTCTTCTATATCATTCCCACAATCTTCTCTCATATCTTTTTCTCCAATGCCAAGCTCAAATCATGTACGTTTCTATACTATCTTAAGATCCGAAGTCAAAAATCTCAATGCAAGAGTCGAAAAATTTGAAGCTAAAGTTAAAAATGGTTAAAGAAGAATTGAAAACCTTCAAAAATCCTAGTACAACATCTTTACGAATGATCCTTAAGTACCCTTTGCCTCGTTCGAAACTAGTCGAAGAAGAATCAGAGATTGGTGCCAAAAATCAACTTGAGTCACAGGTACCTAAAAGAAAAAAACGAAAAACTATGCCCTTTTCTCAACTGCTTACTAGTGAAATGTCGTTAAAGTTGTTAAAAGACGCAGAGGAAGATGCTGAAAAAAAGGCTAATGAGATAAAACGTAAGAAAGAAATTGCAGCTCAGAAACGAATAGAACAGGAGGCTAAAAAGGAACAAGCAGAAAAAGCAAAAAAAGAAAACCAATTAATCGAAGAAAAAAAAAAAAAAAAGTCATTTAGATAATTAAATTTTACTTATCTAATCTGTGCGTCATTTTTGGTCCACTGCCCGAAGATCACAAGTTTTATTAAAAAATTTTTACTTATTATAGAATATTTTTTTTTAAAAAAAATAAAAAAAATAAAAATTTAAAACCTTTAAAATAAATATTTATTAAAATTTTATGATTTGTAAGTTAATTTTATAAAGTTATCTTATAGAAGAAGTTAACTGCGTCATAATACCCCCTCTTACTTTAATTATTTATTTATTTATCAAAACTTAAATATGCTGAAAAATAATTATAATAGAGAAATATGTTAATAGTATGTTGAGAATAGCTATAAAGGTGGGTTGTTAGAAGAGCATTTTTAGGGAGTTACTGATATTGATAAAGTGGTTTGGAGGAAAAAGTAGCAAGAGTAGTTATCAAGGATAAGATAATTGTTGGAGATGTAATTACTAGTTAAATAGTTGTCGAATAAGTTGTTGTGTTGTGGATAGATAATTGTTAGAAAAGTGAATTGTTACTAGATAAGTAGTTTAGTTTGTTGGTGAAATGGTTATTGGTAAAGAGAAATAGTAGTTGCAAAAAAGTAGTTGTGTTAGAGATAGTGTTGAGAAAGCAATCGTTAAAGAATTGATTGCTGGGAAGTTGTTTATACTAAATTAAGAATAAGACAGATTTGTCTTATGCTTTACATATAAACTTAGTTTTGGAATTTTGGCTTTCAAAATTTTGGCATAGTTTTAAAATTTGGTATAGCTTTGGAAATTTGGCATAGTTTCAGGCAAAGTGTTGGAGTTTCGGTTTCGATTATTAGCTCAAAATAGTTTTGAATAGCATTATTAGTTGAAAGTAGTCTAGAAAATTCTAAATACAGTTGATCTTCATGTGTGTAATTATATATTTAAATTTATATAATAATCTACATTATGCATATTGTTTACTTGTTTATATTTTTTGACCAATTAAAACAAATATTTGCCATGCTGCAACTACTTGCACTTAATAACAAATTGCCAAAAATGATCAAAAATCAATTAAAATAAACTACCCCTATGATTTTTGTTTAACTTTTTGGTCAAAAAAGAGTAGCTTATTTTTGAAAACCTATAATACTTGATAAAGATAGCATTCTTGTTAGCCTATTGGGCTTACCTCTTTGTTTTGTTTTTTTTTATATTTCCTGTTTTCTTTTTTTGTTCATTTCTTCTATAAATTTTTTCTTTCTTAATTTATATTTCTTTTGTTTGTCTTCTATTTTCCTTTTCTTCTTGTTGTATATTCTGGTATTGGCTAATACAGAAATTTTCTTTTTGTGCTCGATAAAGAAAGAATAAATGAAGGATAGGCTCTAGATAGGCTGACAAAATCTTCTAACTTATATGTAAGTTGATATAACAAGTTACAGCTAGGCATATTTATTATAGCTAGGTAATATTGGGCTCACAATTATTATACTTCTATATTTTTTACTCAAGTTTTGTTTGATTAATAAAGTATTGTATTTGAGCTCTAGCAAGACTATCAAAAAGCAAAAAAAAAAATATAGTTTAATATCTTTGCCTGATATTTTTACTAATAGTTTAGTATTTTTATCTACTAATTATATTGATTTATCTAAATCTTTATTTAAAAATTGTATTAATTATCAAAAATCTTTGTCTAATAGCTATAGAGCATAGTAGACAATCTCTGTGATTGGTTAATTATTGTAAATCTACTTATGATTTTTTGTAATAATTAGCCAATCAAATTACATAATTTAAAATATTTATCATTTTAATATTGCTAAAAAATGAAAGAAAACTTTATTTGAAGAAGCTTACAAACTAATAAATACATACAAAAGAATTTATTAGATAATTTAGAGAATAGACAGATATGTATAAAGTAAAGTATATGTTAGTGTATGAATAGTGAGGAAACCCATTAGGTTAGAGAGCTGATGGAGGTAGTTAGAACCAGATGGTTTAAATGGGTACTCTTCTAGTTGGGGTGCAGGTATGGAAGATAGTGTAGAACCTTCGGGCAGACTACTTAAATAGGCACTCAAAAGGTGTACGTGTGGCTTGATGTACCATCATTGTAATTATATATAAAACTTCGTCTATACTCTAATAAAAAGTTCCCCAGACCAAAGAGGTCACCTTAATACCAAAAAAAAAATAAATAAATAAAGTAGAGTATATGTGATATTTATTATTAATAAACCGAACTTATTAAAAAGTTAATATGTAAATAAATTTAGAAATTATTAATAAAGTTATCTTTTATTCTTTATTTATTATATTTTGAAAAGTAATTGAAATAACTCTAATTTTTAGTCATTGAATCTTTATTAGAATACAGCATAACTCTTCGCCTATATCATTAATGAAACAATAATACTTATATAGTACATAATATCAAACTACTATTTAATCTAAAGTACACTTACTAATCTAATAACTTAACTCTATTATATTTGGAATACACAAAATATAAGTATTAGTATGAGTCTATTATTATTGGAATAGAATTCTAAATAGTATATACAAAGTTCTTAAAGTTTGAGCTTATATATAATATTTCAATTTCTTCTTTTTGCTAACTATTTTTAGTATTTAGAACTTTAATATAACTAGTATTAGCAATGAGTAGTAAAATATTTGTTTCTAAGTGAAGTTTTTGAAAATATAGATTATTTTGAATTAATTTTAATATAAAATAGAATGTTTTATAATCTTTCGATATCTTCCTTTCTTTAAGCTAGTTTGATTGATAAATTCAAAATAATCATGAGAATGCTTTGTAGTCTAAAGGTATATAAAAAAATTTTTAAGTAGAGCTAAGCCACTAATTATTATTTCTAAATTTAAATTGTCTGTTATATTTAGCTATAGTAAGTTTTGTGCTTTATCTAATAAGAGAGCTGACAATTATCAGATGATTTTCTAGAAAGAGGAGTCAAAAAAATTGAAATTTTATATATAAGACCTGATAAATTATATATTAAAAACTAGGGGGGTAAGTCTCTGATAAAAAAAAATCAGGTAATAAATAATACTGCTTTAATGTTATTAATTAGAATATGATAATAATTTATCATATTCTAGCTCTTGTTATTTTTTTTTTTTTATTAAGTGTTCAGAGACTAGAGTTTATTAATATTTTAGATGTTAAAATCAATTGTCCTATACAAATTGTATTAGTAATGAATTTAATCTAATTAGTCCATATCTGATATATTATATAATTTTAATACTACTACTATACTTTATCTATTATTGGTAAACTTTTTTTTTTTTTTTTTTTTTTTTTTTTTTATTCTTTGACAGTCTTGTCGGTGCTCAAATACAAATTATATTACTATT